ATCTTTCATTCTTGCTCCATATTTGACTAGTTTAGAGAGTGACATCTTTTGAGATTGCTCCCTTGCACCAGCAGGACACCTGAATCATTGTTCCTGTCACCGCTCTGCCTCGGGTGTGACCGAGCTTGCCCAATATGAACCCATCAGAGTGATCTTCCCTGCTGCTCTCTCCCAGTTTCAGTAAAGTCTGCATCTGCTCTGCCCACTCTGGCAGCCCTGCAGATGAAAGTGCAACACGTGTCTGCAAGCACGTTTAAACACTGTCGCTCTCTTCTCTTATAGCTACGAGCCGGAATTGTTTCCTGGCTTAATCTACAGAATGATCAAGCCAAGAATTGTTCTGCTTATTTTTGTTTCTGGAAAAGTGGTTTTAACCGGTAAGTGAAGTCGGTATCTTACTCCACTAGGTTAGATTTACATGGTGTTGCAGAGACACACCGTGATCCCGCAGATACGTAAGCTGCTGGGTGCTGTCCTTTAGACACCAGGACCGAGAGAGCACAGGTAGTACAGTATGGTGTGTCTGGGAACGCACAGAGCAAACCACACGTTTGGCTAAATCCATATAAGCTGTGATCACAAATCCTGATCAAGTATGCAGGTGCCCAAAAAGCTGTAAGAGTGCAGGTAATTTTCCTAGCAGAATCTGTTTCTGTGTGCTGGGTGTGTGACTGTTCCTTGTCAGCTTGGCTGGAGGCTGCTGCCGCTCTCCTTGGATACAGCAGCTGAAGAAGGGGAGATACCTGAGCTCTAGGACCTCTTCAACCTCAGGCACTCCACCCATACCCTTCCTTTTCCCCTCCTCACGAGTCTTACAGCGGAGAAAAAAAACCTCCACAGACAAAAGAAGGAGCAGGTCCCCGCAGCAGGGCACGTGGTGGGCCTCTGTAGCGGTCTCCCTTGCCAGACCTTGCTCCCCAGGACGTTCACACTCTCAAAAAAAGCTCCAGCAGTTAGGCCTTTCTGCAGAAACATCCCCTGGGGCTGCGCTTTGTGTACGCTCCATATGAAACGTGTGTTTAAAAATAAATCAGAAGAATAGGCATTTATGGCTATGCATAGGTTTTATAGAGTTGCATTCAAACAAACATGCTAAAATTCCTTGGCCAAAGGTACAAAGTAACCCGGTTCCCTTTCTTTGTTCTAGGTGCTAAAGTACGGGCAGAAATCTACGAAGCGTTTGAAAACATCTATCCTATTTTAAAGGGGTTCCGAAAGACAACATAACAGTTCCTACATCTTTTGGAGAAGTCAGGGGTATATTTTAAAAGGTATTGCGTATGGCACAGCAGTAACAAGAGACAGACTTCCAGTGAAACTGCGACACCAGAGGATATGGACTATTTCCCAGTTAGTGCCTACTTCCCTGATGCTCAAGGGGAACTGTATTCTTGATTATGTCTACTGAGTTACTGTGAGTTGCTTTTACTGGGCTGTTCCTGGAGCAGTCCCTCCAGTTTTATTTATATTCTAGCTTTTAAATAGTTTTAATGCCAGTTCTATTAATAGAAAATCCGTAAGTTGGTTTCAAAGACAGATGTGACGGTGTCACCCAAGTGTATAAACCACTTCAGTTGCCATGTATATAAGTTTTAACTTCCTTCCATAAGACTATGGTTTTTATAATTTTCAGAACTTAAGCTTTTAAATTTTTCCAAGTTTAAATTTCTTTCGTGCCAGACACATTCCCTCTTTCCAGTATTAAGCAAGACAGAATAAATTTATTAATGAAAATGGCTCACTGTACATATATATATAATATATACTTTCCTTCTCTTTCCTCCTTCAGTTCCACATGTACAATAAACCTTGTTTATATGATTAATGGGAACTGTCTTGATGAATTTTAAAATTACCCAGCTGCTAGAGTGAAATACGTTGAGACCTTTGGGGTTTTTTTTTTTTCCAGTCTGGATTTTTCAACAGCACGTGCACTACTGTAAGCGACTTGTCACGCTGAGAGGATCTCGGCAGCGCTCTGGCTTGCTTACTGGCCGTCACATCCTCGGCAGCGTCCGGCTTTGAGTAGTTCTGTTACGTTAAAGCAAAAGAGGTGGCTGGTTACAGCCACTTGCGGTCAAGTACGTGTTGGCTTAATTACCCAAGTCTTCGGTAGCTATGCTTGACTGAGAATTGGAACAAACGGCCCCTGCTTAGCTTCCAGAGTTTCATTCCATTACCACTTGTGTCTTTTGCCAGTTGCGGCAGCTTCGCTCCATCAGCGTTCCTGCGAGGTGTCCAGGCCCTGCCGACTGGAGTCAGCATGCGCGCAACCTTCCCTCTGAACTGCGCTTGAAGCTTAACGGGCTGAGCACTAAAAATGAACCCTCTTCCTTCAGTAGGTTTCCAGTAATAGTAACCTCCTTTCTACAGCCTGCAACTTCCTTCAGACAGCTTTTATGTAGAACTTGCCCAAATGTAGCCACGGTCTCTTTTATTTGACGAGTTGGTGCTTCGTTCCAGACAAAATGCAAGTTTGGGCTGGCTTTCCTACCGCTCCGTTTGCAAACCCTGAGCAACCTTACTCTTCTCTACTTCCCCCCACCCCTCCAGGGTCATACATCCATTTCTCCAGGCGTTTTAAGGATTGGTTTCCCGAATCTTACCAGAAAGCTGCTGTTCAGTAGCGTCGGTTCAAGATACCCACACGCCGCCTCGCCTTCGGTGCTGCACCTCTCCGTGCTGCGAGCATCCCTGAGTGCGCTTGAACACACCTGTCCGTGCTGTCACAGCGCCCTGCACTATTACCACCTTACCTGCAGAACTCTAACCCCGCGGGAAAACTTGGAGCCTTAAGTAACCACGGGATGGTTTTCCACCAAATCCGTTGAGCTGTACTACAGTGAAGTACGGTACCGTTCGCTGTTCTGCGGCATGGACCAAGGCCTAAAAATACCCTTTTAGAAATGAAGTTCTGTGATGACAACCATACAGCATTCCCTACCTGCGCACCGGAGTATTTCCAACTACTAAATTAGTACAAAAAGCCCCAACAGTGGGCCTAGAGCTTTCATAAAATCACCTTCAGAGTCCCAGGTAAGCAGAGATTAATGGCTTGAGCAGGATAAGGGAATATGTAACTGAAGTAAGTTCTGTACTGAGACACCAAAAAAAGCCCCCGCAACCCACAGCTTCCCTGCAAACGTAGCTATTGACACAGGAGCTGTTAAGCAGCTACCACGGTGAATTCGGCATGGTTTCACTTCTCTCTTGCCTCAGCTGTCTGGCAGTCACTTGGCAGAAGGATCCCCGCAGAGGGCACGTATTTCTAAACTTCACCAAAGCTGGCCGACTTGAGAATTCAGCTTGAAAAAGCTGCTGCTACGAGGAGTAAGTACCAAGACAAACACGTTCCGCGATGGCTGGCTTTGAACTGCTGCTGCACCGCGGTCCCACGCAGAAAATGGTTTAACTCCATTCTTACATTTAAGTCAGACAGCAACAACTTTTACCTCGAATAACGGCTCAACCAGAACACGTAACAACTGCTGAGTTGGGCTCAGCGTCCCGCAGTGAAAGGCTCCAGCTTGGCCTTAGCCTTCTGTACTCGTCAGCGCAAGCGCTGGAGCGATCGTACAGCAGCCTGCTTTTTCTCGCCGAATTGGTGCAAATGTTTTGGCAGCACAAAGGAAAACCCAGCAGGCAACAATCCCTGTTCCTGAAGTTCAGTCACCAACAAAAGAGAACTTTCACCAATCCATAAATATTTAATCTTTATTTAAACATCCGTCATTTGAGATTGGAAGCGAAGTTCACCAGGAGATGGAAGCTCCTGGGAGCACAAGAGAGGCCGTCGTGGTCTACTCGTCGTCGTTCTACCACTGTTACAAGCTACAGAGCTGCCAGTGACTTCCGTGCAACCACCTCCTGGCCAAGCGCCGAGGTGCACCGAAACAAGGCAGGATGTATCCTGTTCACGTGACTCAACTCAGGAACTTGCAGCAGAGCCCGCAGAGAAGTCTTGTTTCCATATGAACTCTTCCAGGTATTCGTTTCCCTCACCGCAGCTGTTGGCGCACGTGTACACCACCAGCGTTCCCCAGTCGATGCTCTCTCCGAGGCTGTCAACCTGAAGGTGGTTCAGGAGCTGGGGCATAATCTGCAAGGGAAAAGGAGGGTTTAGAGGCAGGCCACAGCGCTCCAACTCCCTCTCCCTGCACCTCTTTCTGGAGAAGGGTCCTGCCGTCATTCATGTTCTCTTAAACCAAAATCCCAGTCGAAGCTACGGAGTAGGGCAGCAGCTCAAGTAAAACCCGTGTGGAATTGCCAGAGCAGTGCAGTAGTTGCACAGGGAATCACAGGCGTGGCCCTACGCATCCACAGAAGTTTTGTTTGAGTGTTGCCCGAAGTGTAACCCTCCTTCCGTCTGAAACTACCGTCACAACTGTGTTTTGCCATGGCACGACATCAAGCG